GCTTGAAAAAGAGAAATTACAAAATGAGAATGGGATGTAGACAAAATGCAAGCTAAGGCGCTCTTGATTCTAGCCTGCTGGGCAGGTTAGAGTTATAATCGTTTGTGGTCCTTTTCTTACCATTGGTGCATGCGCATTCCTTCTATTTTCATTCGCAAGTTCAGATTCTCATGACCACTAAAATTCATATAAAATACAGATGAAGCAAATTGCATTGATTGTTTTTAATTTTTATGACGCGATCGAGCTATTAGCATATTACAATCCATGACATAACTATAAGACGAATAAACCACATGGGATAGTAAGTACTATTCCACATCCAAGGACAACTTGGCTGCTTCTTTTGGTTTCTCCATATTTCTGGAGGTAATGTTTTATCAAATTCACATACCCCTGTGAAATTCACAAATTCGTAGTGATTTTTTCATTTTTCCACTTGTTCGGAAAAAAAAAAAAACAAATCCAAAGTAAAACATAATTTTGCGGTGTGAAATTCCCAGTCAATCCAAAGTAAAACACAATCAAAAAGCTCCTGTTCAAAGCAGATTCATCTGTACTCGCGGTCATTGCTAACCCCGTTCTTTGTCTTCTCAATCGAAGCTCTAGAAATCGCCCTTCAAAGTGCAGAATTTGTTATTGGACGATTCATCTGTAATTTTGTAATTTGATTAAAATCCATAAACACTATCAGACTGATGGACATTGTAATAATGAGCCATTGCTACGGTGCCAATAAAGCAGTGCGTGAATCTCACTATGGGAGGCCACATAGCATCCGTTAGCTTTTGCCTTTTTTAGAAAGTGGAACCCCCTTGAAGTTCTTCAAGCGGCCGTTTCTGCTGCTGTCATCAGCCAAGAACATGAGGGACCCAAACCGGAGGACTGGGCTACCGAATTGGAGATCGAGGATCTGACAAGAACGGGGGTGTTTCCGGTATAAATGTTGGCCGGTCCTTATTGGTGCATCCCACCGCCGACCAAGCCGCAGGAGAAGCGGGCGCGACAGATGCGCTGGAGCAGGCGGTGGAGGGAGGCGACGAGCAGGAGCAGTGGCAAGCGGAAGGAGTAGAGGGAAACGGCGGCGAAGAGGCAGACAAGGGGGAATAGGAGAGAGAGGAGGAGGGGAGAGAGAATGGTTATGACGACGAATGCCCTCCAAATCGAAGACGGGGGAGTGAAGAGGAAGCGCGGAATTTGGGGTAATTTCGGGAGAAATTTTCAGAAATTCTTGTTGGTGCTTTTTCCAGAATCAGGTGGAGTGCGTTGGAAGAGGGCGTCCTAATTTGGACCGGCCCATAAATCACCCGATATATATCTGGGGGCTGTTTTTAAGAGATGATTTGGGCTGATTTGAAGAGTGCTTTTGGGGTGATTTGGGTGTTCGGATAAATAAGCCGAAGTGGCTTATTTTTTGTCTTTATTCAAAATTTTTTCGTATCACTTGGCTTATTGTCAATTTTTTGGGGATTATTGCATCCTCATGACGAGAGGAATCTAAAAAGTAAAATTTTTTGACCGAAATCCAATTTTTTTTGAATAAAGACGAAACAATTGGCTTATTAGCTTATTTTTGTTTTTTGTGGGTTTGTTTGCCTCATTTTTGACCGGAAAGCCAATGGCTTATTTAGAAGAACAAAGCTTTAGGGGGTGTTTAAAAAATAAATACTAATTTTAATTACCGGAACAAGGCTTGGTTTCAATTTTTCTCCTTGTGATGAATGGAATTCTTTTGCTAAGCTAAAAAAAAAATTCTCAGTTGCTTTCATTTGAAGACAACAAAAGAGATGGATTAAACTTCAATTTGCAAATGGAGTAGAGTGCAGTTGGTACCTCTTTATACTCCCATGCACACGGGTAGAATTTGATTTCTTTAAGCACCTATCCCTTTCCCAAATCCCTTAGAGTAGAGTAGATTAAATTTAACGAATGACAAAAAAAAAATATTCCATTTATTTTAACAAAAAAAATCCAAACCAAAATTTAATAATTTGAATATAGAAGAAACCTTTCTCTTCATTTTTTACTAACAACACGGAACAACAAAGGTGGATTGCTGTCGAACAATGTCAATCCCAAATCTAATTACCGCCGCTAATATAAGAATAGATGTGACAACAGTCAAATCTTTAGTCATGATCTTCCAGTAAAATCTCCGGTTTTTTCCCTCAGTTTTTGCACTCTCAAAAATTAGTAATTTGAGATACTTTAGAAAGACACTTTCACAATAACGCTTGCATTTCTGCTCACTCACGCGCACATGCACTACATGACCCCACGCATTGGGTCTAGAAATCGGACACTTGAGATGATCGGGCCTGTGGTGATGGACTCCACAGATCTGGACAACACAGTAAAACATGAGCCAGGGCCAATGTTTTCTTTTGGGTAAATTTCATTGACCGCCCCCTGAGGTTCCTAACAAATACAAAGACCTTCCCTAAGGTCTCTAAATGACACTGCCCTCCCTTATTCTATTTGACAATACGTTTCTCCCCTTCCATTAAACTGTTGTTTGATTGTTAACTGAAAGATTTGAAGTCACATTTTTTAGTTCCTTCTTACTTTAAATGTCCTTCCCTATCCATGTTACTAATTCTACCACACACATTACTTGATTGTAAGCATCCGTCTCCACCATAGCACCTCTTAATCATCATCATCATCATCATCATCATCTTCTCTCTCTCTCTCTCTCTCTCTCTCTCTCTCTCTCCTTACCATAATTAGTGGATAAGTGCTTCTAACTCAACGAGATACACAATTAATGTAAATTTGCAAAATACATACAAATCTATTTATATACAAATATTTCGTAATGAATGATGTCGATGATATTAGGAGTATATTTTCTAGGATGTAGAATTGGGATAGAAGGGCAGCCTGCCTGTATTTTGGTTTCTTGTGTTGGCCTTTAACACATCTATTTGTTCTTTATTGGAGAGAGAAATAAACACCGGACATTATTTGGAAACCTAATTCGAAGGTGTACAATTTTGGAGAAAAGAGGGAACCAACTAATTGAAGAACGTGGACAAATCTAATTCATTTAAATGCTAAGTTAAACACCATTTGCAGACTAATTTCGTAGAAAGGTAAAGTAAGGGAGGTCATTGTCATTTTCAAAACCTCAGGAGAAATGTCTTCGTATTTGTCAGAAACCTCAGGGAGGCCAGTAAAATTTGACCCTTTCTTTTGTTTTCCTCATGGGAAACGGGGTCCCAACATCCTGTAATCCTAGTCCTAGCCGTTCAAAAACTTAATAAACATTCTAGGTAGTTACTTGGACCCGGTAACATCCTGTAATCCTAGATCTAGCCGTTCAAAAAATTAATAAACATTCTAGGTAGTAACTTGTTCCCGGGATGCTACCAAGCGGTTCTTATCAAGCGCTTTGCTGAGCGCCGAGGGCATTCAGACTGTCCATCTCGATAATAAATGGTTCAGATTTAAAACAAACTCTTTCAAGAAAGAGAGTTTAACTCTTCCCTGGAAGAATTCGTTTTTCAATCCGGACTGCTGAAAATACTTTTGGATGGTTCGAATGCACTCTACACCCGCTTGGCAAGGTGCTTGGTAGGGACCGCTTAACAGCGTCTCTAGATCTGTCCGTAACCTACTGGTCCTGCCGTCCTGTATCTATACAAAAAATTAATAAACATTCTAGGTAGTAGTCCTAGCCGTTCAAAAAATTAATAAACATTCTAGGTAGAAACTTGGACCCGGGATGCTACCAAGCGGTTCCTATCAAGGGCTTTGCCGAGTGCTGAGGGCATTCGAACTGTCCATCTCGACAATAAATGGTCCAGATTGAAAACAAACTCTTTCAAGAAAGAGAGTTTAACTCTTCCTTGGAAGAATTTGTTTTTCAATCCGGACAGCTGAAATTTTGGATGGTTCGGATGCGCTCTGTACCTGCTTGGCAAGGTGCTTGGTAGGGACCGCTTAATAGCGTCTCTAGATTTGTCCGTAACCTACTGGTCCTGCCGTCCTATATCTATACAAATACGGAGTACAATTATTCTATCAAGCGGAGTGCTTAACAGCGGTGCAAAGTGGTCGACTTGACCGTTCATCTCGACAATTGATGACTCAAATCTTAATCCGAGCAACAAGCAATTTAGATTTTTATGTGTTCAAATTAGATTCGAGTCTTCGTGTAGAAATGACCGGTCAGATCGATTGCTCGACACCGCTGTTAAATACCCCATCTCCCAATCCAAGGAAAGAAACGTCCTAACGAGTTGACGGATCAAAAAATGAAAAAGTAAAAGAAACGTCTTCCAATTGTCTACCAACCATCACTCAAGCCTACGGGTGGACTTCTACAAATGAGATTGACCTGAACCAAAACACACGGAGCCAGAATCCCAAAACCCTAGATGAAAGCCCACATGAAAGTTTTCCTACCCAGGTAGTTTTCTTCCCCAATTCCGCAAGAAAAAGCCAAACAAGGAACAGAAAGCTGAAAAATCGTTGATGGGTATGGTCCCAAATCAGAGGGTCACGAGACTGGGCCAGACCCACGACGAAATACCCGCGTCCAATTCCAATGGAGCTTCTTCTTCAACCGCTACTGCGAAAAAAAGATGGTACAATTTGATGCCACTGTTGGTAGTCCTGGTCGTTGTAGCAGAGATAGGGTTTTTAGGCCGGCTCGACATGGCCAAGAACGCTGCCATGTTGGCTGACTCGTTCTACCAGCTCACGACGTCGTTTTCGTCGGCGGGGGATTCGGGGACGGAGGAGGTCGGGCCGGGCTTGGTGGATATTGATCGGGGCGCCGAAGCTGGTGGGTGCGAGGAGTGGTTGTTGAGAGAAGACTCTGTGGTGTATTCTAGGGATTTTGAGAAGGAACCTGTCTGGGTTAATGGTGGTGATCAGGTTTGGTTTCAATTAGTCCTATAGACATGTTTTGCGTTTATGTTTTTTTTTTAAAATAACTCAAGCGCGCACTCGACTAATCATGGATCAATCCCACCGCCCACTTGCGGCCCCAAAGGAGTTGATAGAGGTTTCGAACCTGAGACCTTAAAAGGGAGCAAACCCACAAGTCCCACGCCTTGACCATTAGGCCAACCCCTTGGGGGTTTGTTTTGCGTTTATATTGCTTTGATGTGGACTTTTGTTCCCCTTAATTGTCCGTCAACAGATGTTGTGTTGATCCATCGAATTAGTTTTGGGTTGGCAATTATGGTTAATTGATCAACTAGAATAGTAGTCATGATACTTATTCTGTCTTTTTTCTTGAGCATTAGTACTTGTAACTTGTAACGGATGTACATATGTATCAAAAATGTCCTGGGAGAACTATGAAAGATGGAGATAATGATAGAGCCCGATACTCCTATCTTATGATGCGATACATGTTTATAGTCGTGTTCACGTATAGAGTCTATAGACTCGCATTTTGAATGTATGATGCTTTTACTTATATTATCAGTTTGTGTAACTTTGTGGAACATGTTAGTTGTGCTGTAGTTAAATAATTGAGAAGTTGAGAGCTTGTTGAGGCTAGTGATCTGTAGTGTTGAGAAGAAGGATATCAAAGAAGTTCAGAATTCAAGAGCACCGTTGTATTTTTGCTGAATTCTTGCTCTCTTCATTATCGTATTTGTTGGTTATGCAAAGGGTGGTCATAATTTGGTAGTCCGTAGTTTGCTGTTGTTTGCCAACTTGCCATAGTCTAGCGGAGATGTCTTGGTAATAAATGGTCTTCATGAATCTACAAAATGAAAGACATTTGACATTTGAGAAACATCACTGTAATTGTGTCACCAGTAATTGTTTCTTTTTAAAATTTTGAGCAGTATCGTGTCAAAAATTTTACTAGAAGTGTGTAATACGTCATACCATTTGGCTTGCCCTCTCTGATGCCATTTGGCTTTGATTTGGGGGCACGGTTCTGAAACAAAATGTCCCTGTAGCTCCTCGGTTCTTGGAGGTTTAGGGGGGCCACTGTTTCAGTGGTATTCTGGGAGCAGTCACTTTGTGCTTATATTGTCAAATGTTAGGTCTGTCTCCAATCATCCCCGCCCATACCCCCTATGATTGGGGACTAGATGGGTTATGTGTTATGTATGTATGTATGTTGTGTAATATGTCATTCCTTTCTCGTTTCTTCTTTAAATGCCCAGTCCTTACAATTTTTCTTTTTTGGAAAATTTTCTTCTTCAAAGTTTTTGCACCTTAGGTATTTTTTCAATTACCATCTAAGTTGTGTTATTTTATGTTTGATATGTATGCTCTGCATGCTTCTCTCTAGGAGTGGAAGTCTTGTGCTGTGGGGTGTAAATTTCAGTATAATGCCAATCAGAAGCCTGATGCTACTTTTGGGGTAGGTCAACAACCTGGGACAGCCAATGTGCTTCGATCAATGGAATCATCTCACTACTACTCTGAGAATAACATTGATCTTGCAAGACGGTGGGTAAGCACACTCAGAGATGACTCCTTAGTTGTTTTTGATACTCTAAAAGAATAGGCAAGCATTTAGAAACACTCAGTGTAAAATCTGCAGACTGCAGCCAAGAAACTCTTCCAACAGCCCAAAACATTCTATGTATCCTTTGTGCGCACGCAGATTCTGAAAGTTTGTGCTCAAGTATAGGGTACTATGTAAGTGCAAAAAAAGTTTTGCTTTTGGTCTTATGAAGTTAGTAGTAACTAGTATAATTTAAGGTAAGAAAATTCTTTTCTAGAACGCTGTGCTCAAATATGCGTATGTTATATGGTAGGTGATGCACATGCTTGAACAGTCTAATTGATTTCAAGAATATAATCCTATCTATTGTGTAACTACTACTCCATGTTCTGTTTTTTGCGGTGGTGGGGGTATCCATGTTCTGTTTTTTGAGCTGTTTCAGTTGCTTGATCATTTTTTTCCCTTCTTTTACTTGCCTTCCTGGTATCATCCATGTTCATCTTCAGATCTTCTTATTGAATATGCAGTAAGTGAAATGGCATTGCTGGTTGTTACTAGAGAGAAGAACGGAAAAATTGTAGAATCTTGGCCCTGCTGAGTCTGAAGAGGACTCATGCCATGTTTTTTCCTTTTTGAAAAAGTTGGTTATACATAATGGCAGTATTTGCATCATGTTACTGACATTAACACTGACAACTGACAAGCGGCACAAAGAAAACCCTTTGTCTCCTATCTGTTTTGCTTGTTCTTGTTTCTCATCATAGATTACAGAAGATATGGATAGTTTGTTTAGCAATAGAAGTTACTTGTGGTTCAAAACTCTAGTAAGACCAAGTATAGTTAAACTGACCTCAATTTTCCTCATGTACTAGGAGGGGATATAACATTGTAATGACGACTAGTCTCTCATCAGATGTCCCTGTTGGTTACTTCTCTTGGGCTGAGTATGATATTATGGCCCCGCCTCAAGCAAAGACAGAGAAAGCTCTGGCAGCAGCTTTCATTTCCAATTGTGGCGCTCGCAACTTTCGTTTACAAGCTCTTGAAGCACTTGAAAAAGCAAAGGTCTCTATAGATTCATATGGCAGTTGTCATCGTAATCATGATGGAAGAGGTGTGCACATTGTATTCTTGAGTTTTCTTCATTTAAAATAATTTCTTAATGTTAATACTACTATTAGTCGTTTGAGGACGTATATCATTTTTTGATTTTGCTTGTGTTTATATTCGGATTATCTCGGCACTTGGTCAGACCAAATGCTCCTATGTTATCGCTATTTTGTTATGCAACATTAATACTTACAGTCCTTTCTTTCGTAACTTTTAAGCTTATATGATAACTTCTCTTGCTAGATGTGAGCTTCTTGCGTGTTTGCTTTTAGAGTAGTTTTGAATCCTTAACCATTGCGGTGCACCATTATAATTTCCTTGATATTTGGTTGGTTTGTTGGGGGATACATTGGTAATTTTCTAGATGTGACCATTTAATGCTGTCTCATCGGTTCCGTAAATGCTTCAGGATATTGAGACCGAGTCTCTGTGCAGTATAAGTCTTGAAAGTGTAACAACAGAAGGAAGGTTGTGATGCCTTTTGATTTTGGTACGGTTCGAGTTTTAGTTTATAAGTACATTTATGGACGAAAGGTTCTGATAAATATGCAAGTGTATGCATACCTTCTTTACAAAAAGTTTAGATTAGTCTTGACTGTAATTTCCCTCTGTAGTTCTAAGTATATAGGTGTTTTTATTGACTGGTTTCCCTTTAATCCAAAGAATTTTGTGAAGTTCTTGGCTGTGGTGAACATTCTTTTGGAGGATATTGCCTTGTGATTCGTGAAGTTGTCGTTTGTTGCAGTTGGCTCATTCTTTCTACACTGTAAATGTGTATAATAAAATATGTAATGAGAAGTAGTCAGTGAAAAGATAAAATGGGAGAAGATAATTGCTGAGTGGAGAGTATATTTATGTTGTTCTTTGCTCCGCAATATTAGGCAGCTTGTTGGATTTATGCAATGTATCTATGCAATTAGAGCTCAAAAGCTGGGACTGCATATTGCGAACACACTTCTGTTGAGAAATCAAGGATAACATCTCTTTCCTGAAGATGTTGGAGATTTTGGTACGAGTTCCATGCTTAAGTACATGAGTTGGTACTAAATGTTTATAAGTACTTATTTTGCAACGGTATGCTCATCTAGAAGAAGTCAACTAGTATCAATTAATTCCAAGAACTTGATGACAAAATTTATATTTCTATCTGTAGTCAATCACGTCTTTGCTTACCAACTGTAGCAGAACTAGTATGAAATCATAGCTGTTTGCGAAATTGTTGCAGTGGACAAAGTTGCAACTCTGAAGCGCTACAAATTTAGCTTGGCCTTTGAGAATTCGAACGAGGAGGACTATGTAACTGAAAAGTTCTTCCAGTCTCTTGTTGCTGGTATGATATTAAACTCTTTCATGCATTTTTTTAACTCTTGATGCCTCTGTTATGTTTCTAAACTTACATGTTTTTGTGTGTGTGTGTGCGCGTGTGTGTGTGATGTTCGTATTTCCATGAGGGTTTTGTTGGTTTTTAGAGTCCTATTCTCCCTCCATTTTTCTGGTAGTATCCCACTATCCCTGAAATCTAAATCCTGGAATTTACCACGCATTTAAGTTGTATAGTTGTTGAACTAATCTCTAAAGGATTAAAAAGCAAGTTGTTTAAATTGGTATTGCTGTTCCTTTCAAAAAAATAAATAAATGGTATGCTGCTGTTTGAGCCTCGAGCTGCAATTATGGCTGATATGTGGAATGGAATAGTTCTCTGAAATCGAACATTATTTCGCATTGGGAATGACCCTCCTACTAAGAAAGGAACATATGCTTTTCTCCTTATCTTCTTGGAGTGATTTGGGAGGAATTGTTAACAAGTTTCTAATGAATTTTTATTCTTTTTTGCTAAGCAATGAAATTTTACTTGGTTCATGAATCATATGCATAATGGGAAATTGCTTTCTGGTTTGCTATTAAAAAAATCCTTAAATATGTTTAATAATGCTGATGAAAGGAAATTTTGCCAAAAATCCTAGGTTGTGTTCCTGTGGTTGTTGGTGCACCAAATATTCTAGATTTTGCTCCTTCTCCGGATTCAATCCTACATATTAGGGAGCTGAAAGATGCTGAATCTGTTGCCAACACCATGAAATCCCTTGCTGAAAATTCTGATGCATTCAATCAATCATTAAGGTATTCCTTTATGTGTGACCATTTCCCCAGTCTTTTGACTGTTTTCGGCGATTTTGATTGAAATACAGTATGCAGAGGCTGAAGGCCCTCAACTACTATCTGGTTCCTCAGATATGTCCTCTGTAGCTTCTGCTTATCGTTTGCAACTTGGGGATAATTATTTTTCAGGTGGAAGTTTGAGGGGCCATCTGATTCTTTCAAAGCACTTGTTGATATGGCAGCAGTCCACTCATCATGCCGCCTATGCATTTACCTGGCAACAATGATCCATGAGAAAGAAGAACAGACCCCAGCTTTTCTGAAACGTCCATGCAAGTGTACCAGAGGCTTAGAAACGGTCTACCATGTATATGTAAGGGAAAGGGGAAGATTTGAGATGGAGTCCATCTTCTTGAGGTAAATCTCAATTTATTCATCAACAGTTTTAA